CGTGTCAAATGAATCCTCTTCACTGTACAATATTGAATTTGTTGTGTTTCCTGTTTTTTCTAAAAAAAAAATACCCTTCCTTTTGTTTTTGTATATTTTTTTGGTGGCTAGTAACTTGCAAAGTGTAAGTTAGTTTACTTAGATGTTTTTTTAGCCGTTGGATCAAATGATCCATAATATCATTTGTCAAACTTGATACTAAAGTACTACTTCTTTAAGGCCTTTGATTACATTTTAGAAGTCGTGATAATAAATTATGACTTATGTGAATCATTTGGTCACACAGAACGACTTCTAAATAATATAACACTACTAAACAAAAAACACTAGTATAATCAAAGACGAACCGGGAAAAATTTATCATAACAAAACTAGTTAACAATATAACAGTACTAACAAAGAAGAAACAAAAAAACTAACCTCACGGATGCAGATTCACCATTTCAATACACTATCCTTTTAAGAAGCAAATATATTTTCCCACGGTTGGCCAAACTTTTGTGTTTTAAACCTGGAGGGGGGTTTTGCTCGTTAACATTCAGAAGTTGTTATATGTCACCACGACTTCCTGAAGTTGTTATATGCCATCACAACTTTCTAAAGGTCATTTAGAATTCGTTATATGTCATCATAATTTCTATATTGATCAGAAGTTGTATTACATCATCACGACTTCCATCCAGAAATAGTTGGTGTAATTTCCACTTTCTTATTTTGCTCTTAATATTTTTTAATTTTATAAAAAATCATATATTCAATAATTCATAGGTAACCATTGTCAAAACCATTTAACCTCAACAAATAAGAGGAAAAAAGGATAAATATCTCAAAAAATATAGAGTGGCATATGAAAAGAACCAAGATATTTTAAACTATACTTTATAATAAGAACCAGATTTTGACTAACTTTATATCTATTGACCCATTAATGAATGTTTGAATGTCAAATACTCTAGGTAATAAATATGAGCGTAAATCATTTTAAATAATATGACTAATATCTTTTAATATCAACGTCAAATAATACTAAAATGAAACGAAATTTTATTATTTATTTGTAACTGAATGTATCTATTTGGGGTGCACCTAGACTTTGACATTGATCTTGATTGCCAAATACGTACATGTAAACGAAAAATAACGTGTGGAAGTGATATATAGTAAAACACATATATTTTTGTTTTCTGGACAGCTTTTATTTGTTGTTTTCATGATGAAGATGACAGGGGAAAAGAGGTTGGAGTCTTAACGGTAGCTTCAACCTCTGCCCAACTCATTTCCCAATTTCTTCTCTTTTATATATTCACTTCAATGAGTTCTCTCTTTATTATCATAATTGTGTCTATATGAAACAGTTTTTTCAGATTCTTGTGTATTGGTATTGGTGAGGAATCTGAGCTGAGGTGGAAGGTGAAGGTGTTGATGCTATGGGAGCGTGTTTGTCAACTACAAAAGGGTCCTCCAAGAGAAAAACCCGGAAGAAGAGGAGGACTGAACTCAGGAGAAGAGTGTCTTCAAAGTTGTCTAAAGGATCATTGGACAAGGTTCATGTTCCTGGGTTGCCTGATCGTTCTTTTGCCAACCCTACTTTCCAAGGTTGATGTTTTTCTTGTTTTTGCTTTTAGTTTTATGACATGCATGCGTTTCTATGCAACCAAGTTATATGCTCACGTTTCTGTGATTTTTTATCATATTATTATACAACTTTGTTTATGACGAACCCGATATATGTTACACGGAAGACTGAATTCGGTACGTGGTATGTAAGATAAATGAGTGAACCGTCTATCTATAATGTGGAATGATTTGGGGTGAGAGGTTGTAAATGTGACAGCAGAAAGATATTTGGTTTGTGTTTTTGTTTTCATATTAGAATTTGTTGTTGGAATCCTTTTAATTGAGTCTTTCTGGTAGTAATGAGTTTGCTAAGTGTTTTTAGTTCTTTTGGGGTAGTTGGAGTTTGGATTCTGGGAAGTGCTGGCGGTGGAGTTGATTTCTTGGTGTACAATGGTTTGGTTATGCTCCGTAGATTATTAATTCGTACTAATTATATCCATTCACAGGTGAAAGCGATATCAACAATTGTATTTACTTAGCTAAAGTCATTTTCTTTTCTATATGAAGGGAATTATTGAAACACAACTTCTGGACTAAGAATGAACATGATAAGAATTCTGGTTGAAAAGTGATATTGAAATTTGGGGTAATTGTAATACTGATGTCTATGTGTGAGTAGTTGAGCATAACTGCTGTAGGTGAGTTGTACCTATTTCAGCTTTGTTTTAAGGTTGAAGAAATATGAGCTTTTAAAACTTGCATTGGTTGTCACAAACATGAAGAGAGGGGTTTCAGAATCAGAAGATAGCATTCTAGCATGAGTCATGTACCCTCTCAAGAGACATTTTGTTCAGCTTGTAATATATCATCTAGTTTAACTGCTGCTGGCAATAAATAAACCCTCTCTTTTTCCTGAAATCCTATTCGGCTAACATATTAACAACCTTCATTATTACTAATTTTTTTGTTGGAGTTTTTAATTTGTGGCAGCTGGAAGTATTGAGGAGTCATGGTTTGATTCATTTGCAGTATTTGACTCTGATTTTGATGATGATTATCAGAGTGTTCCTGAAGGTATGCTTTTTTATAATGTTAATTTAGATACATTTAGTTAGTACTTTTTTTTCATAGATTAAATATCTTTGAAAATATATAATCAATTAGAAATGATATATGCAGATGTAGTATCTCTTAATGGGACTGAAGGTGGATCTATATCAAGTTCCCCATCTTCAAGTGTTGCCAACCATAGAAGTTCAAATGTTCAGCATTCTGGTGTAGATGTCAATGATTCACAATGTAAGTGTGATGGAAATGAAGCAGTTTTCCTTGATAAAATTTCTTCAGTACATTCATGCTTAAACAAAGATGGTGGGATTTTGGAGAATTGTGGGATTCTTGCAAACAACATGTCATTGTATGATTTGATTTATCTTAGTATAATTCACCTTCAAAATTTTATTTAGTAGGTCGACGAAAAACAACTTTTTTATAAGATGTAGTGTTAATTTGTCATTTACAAATTTACAGTGCTAAAAGATATTATATAAAATGTAGTTTTCCCTGGAGAATGCATCTATGTTGCAGTTGTGAGTAGATAATTAATGTAATTTTTTTTCAGTTTCCTCAAAGACACTTCTGCAAAGACCAATTGCAGGTTCTCAAGTACCCTTTTGTCCAATTGATAAGAAAATGCTTGATTCTTGGTCACAGATTGATCCGAGCACGTTCAAAGTTCGAGGAGTAAATTATCTGAAGTAAGATTAATATTCTGTCTGTAATTTGTGTAAAACGCATTCATATTCAAATTAATGCATAAAGAGTTTGAACTATAAAGTTAAATTGAGATGTTTTATGTACATAATCAATAGACAGAATAATGTTTGACTTGGCTTTTATTCTTCATTGAAGGGACAAAAAGAAGGATTTTGCTTCAAACTATTCTGCATATTACCCATTCGGCGTGGATGTGTTCTTATCTCCCAGAAAAGTGAACCATATTGCTCAGTTTGTGGAACTTCCTGCTATTAGTTCCTCTGGAAATTTCCCACCTATACTTGTTGTAAATGTTCAGGTATTCTATTTTCATAAATTTAATTATTATTTAAAATCTAATCACAGTGAATTGTTCTAATTCCAACATTGGACTCCGAGTTCTATTCTTGCCTTTAATTGATTATTATGGCACATTGTCAAAAGAGTTTTTTAAACATCTTTTTTGTGGCTGCATATTCTTATACTATCTGTTTTGTGGATCTCAGATTCCACTCTACCCTGCAGCATTGTTTCAAGGTGAAACTGATGGGGAAGGAGTGAGTTTTGTTTTGTACTTTAAACTTTCTGAAAGTTACGCCAAGGAACTTCCATTGCACTTTCAAGAAAACATGACAGTAAGATATGGAACCTTCATGTGTTACTTTATTGCTTAGTATTACTAAGATTAATGCTTTAAGATTAGTTATTTGATTATCCATAAAATACAAATCTCCTAGAATAGTTATAATAATTATATGACATAACCAAATCTCCCCTGATACTGCTTGTGGTTTTTCGCTCCCCTCTTAAATTCCTTAATTGTTGTCTTTATGGCTGTTAATATGAACCTATGAGGGAAGCTCAACCACTTCATGCTTCACTGACCTTGTGTGTGAAACATTTGTCTATGTTTTTCTACAGAGATTGATTGATGATGAAATTGAAAAGGTAAAGGGTTTTCCTGTAGATATAATTGTACCCTTCCGGGAGAGGTTGAAAATATTAGGCCGTGTTGTCAACTTGGAAGATCTTAATTTGAATGCAGCAGAACGGAAGCTTATGCAGGCTTACAATGAGAAACCGCTTCTTTCACGGCCCCAACATGAGTTTTACTCGGTGAGTCTCAATACTTGAATGACCTTAGAGAATGCATAAGCCATCAGTTTTTACATGTTCAGCATACAAACAGAACAGGATAGAACATGTTGTCATGTTCTGTTCTCTACTGTTCCACCCTCTTATAGTGAGATCAAACGTTTTTGTATTCATATGTCTTGTTCTTTCCCATTTATAAATTACACCAAAAACACAACAAAATCCATATTGGTCTGCTTTGTCCTATTTTGACACGTCTAACAGTAGCTACATGGAGAACTGATTATCTCCATTTAGTCACCCTATAATCTCATATGATACCATCTTGAAGCTGAAAATGGCAATACCAAGGCTTTCTATTATCTGAGCCTGCTTACATGTTTTACTTTTCAACCACTCTAGTCCCTTTACTGTATTTGATGTTAATATTGTCTTTAATGATAAATGGTGTTCATATTCATGTCAATGTCATTCTATGATTCCTTGATCTTTTCAATCAGCTCACCAATTTGATATTTGTTTTGTAGGGAGAAAACTACTTTGAGATTGATTTGGATATGCATAGATTCAGTTATATCTCAAGGAAAGGTTTTGAAGCTTTCATGGATAGATTGAAGATATGCACTCTAGATGTTGGCCTCACAATTCAGGCAAGCTATTTCTTTTATGTCAAAAATACAATGCATTTTCTCTTAATCGATTATTAAAAAATGTTTCTTCTACACCTAGCTTACAGCTCGTTATCAATGAGTTACATCGATTAACAATGCACATAATCTGGTTAGCGAACTAATGTTTTTTTTCCAACAATGAATATAACTTTTGGAAACTGATAATTAACTGACTAGAAATAAGGTGCAAGAATAACATAGTTGTTGATTACATCTAATGTCTGCATCATAATGAAACAGGGGAACAAAACAGAGGAGCTGCCAGAGCAACTGTTATGTTGTATTAGATTAAATGGCATTGACTACATGAATTACCAGCAACTTGGACTAATGACATGACAGAAGTAATATTAGAAATCTTAGAATTTATGATTAGTTATGGCCATTTCAACATGGTCTGTAGAGGGTAGAGCATCTTGTTATGTTCAATAATAGAGGCAACAAAGATAGTTATCTTGTGAAAGTGGCCAAGCATGCCTCAAGGAGGGGTTACAGGCACAAGCATTGAACAAACATGGACATACCCAGGCTTACATAAATTACAGATTGTGAGGGTCCATGCTTATAATTACTCATTCTTTATATATATAAAATTCCTTTAAATTGTTAAGTAAGTAATGAATGGTGTATCCAAGTTTAAAAGATTAGAATACCCTTATATTTTCTGGGTAGGAAAACAAAATTTATTGTTCAGAATGATATAACAGTTGCACTTATGAGATAAATTTTTGAGACATCATTAATTAATGTTTAGCTATTAAATTTGAATACTGCAATTTATTAGAAAGATTGATGTAACAGAATCAGGGATGAATGAATCAAATTAATTGCTCAAGAGGTTTAACAAGTAGAGCTGTGGTCAATGTAAGTTTAGAAAGACTATCAACTGATTCTAAACAAAAAGAGTAAAATGATTGAAAATGGGAAAGAAAAAGTTGAGTTTAGAAAGTGGATGTGAACAAAGATGCTGGTTAGGCTCAACATATAACCAAGGGTGTGTACATACATCCCGAAAAACAATATTGTATACATTTATCTGATAATTAATATTTTTACATCCATAATTATATAAAATTGTATCTATTTCATTTTTTATTCTAGGATAGTGAATCTGCCAACGGTGATATTGATGAGTTGGTGAGGTTTTAGGAAAGAGAAAAAATATATATACTAAGTGTTTGATATCTAATTATTATTACCTCTTCAAAAAATGATACAATAAATAATAAATGTTATAGTAATTATGTATAAATTTGTTTTATAAGAAAAGTGGAAGATACATGGCTTTGGGTGTAAGGATAGGAGAGAAAAATTATTCTTTATTGACTAATATAATATTTGTAGCAATCTTCTCTCTTAAGTAACAAATATTAAAATATCCATTTTGTTGAGTACCACTACTAACATATTAATGCATAAAATAGGGACATGACTCATAGTGGAAAACCACATATATAATCCTAAGTCGGGAAGGAGAATAAAAAAGGAAAAAAATCTTACATGAAGACGAATCCAAAATTATATTAAAGATAAGTATATTTATATTTTTTAATACTTTAATTTATAAGTAAATTTTAATTTTAATTAAAATTTTAATATGTTATCAAGATTTTATTGATTATCACTAATTATACATGCATCTTCATATTTTTCTAGAAAAAGTTGATGACCGACTCAATTGGTAATTGGAGAATGACACGTAGACTTCATGGCCACTCCACCTGTCTCCCTTTATGGCTCCACTATCCTAGAGAAGCAAATTTTCAGAATTTAATTAAATTTTTCTAATTCATTTTTATTTATTTTAATTCACATAATTAAAACTAAACTCAAATTATACCTGCTGTGTTAACTTTCATGTTTAATCTTTAAATAATGCATTCAAACATTTTTCTCATTTTACTTTTCCTTTCCCATACCCTGTCATAAACAGCAAGAAAAATAAAATACTCCGTTTACTCATTTTATGTCCTGTACTCTTATATACTTTGTCATTTTAGAAAATTAAATATGGTATGAGTTGTTAAATATATTAACGATCACTTCGATAATTGTTTTTGTTATACAAAGTAAAATGGTGGATATTAATAAATTAATCTCAAGTTAAATTCTCATTTCAACTTGCTACTGTTTGTCGTACATATTATTTTCTTTCCTTAACAAATATATATAAACAAAAGTAATGGGAATAATGAGAAATGGATAATCTATGTCTCTTTTGTGTCTAATCTAATCCATTTCTCATTTTGTTTTAGAGCTGATCTAATTTTTAAAGAGTAAATATTATTATCCTAAAGATTTATATAGATAGTATATAATTTATTATTTATTTATATTATTATTTTTGAAATAAAAGCTGATAAAAAATGATGGTTAATAGTAATACAATTACGATATACAAAATTGATATGATTTCAAAAACTTTGAACTTGGAAGCAAATCTTCTTAAATGGTTACAAAGCGTGTTATAATTTCTCTAAAGTAATACATTTATAGTGCATGTGAATCTTCTTCAATTGTAAATTAAAAACGGTGTTCTTTCACTTACATAGTATGTCATTTATGATAAAAAAATTCAAATGAACATCAAAATCTCAAACTTTACACAAAGGCAAAACAAGTTTTCAATCTCTTTCCATTTCTTTCTGCATTTATATTCATGTGACTGAAATATGAAAGCTTTTACATTCATTCCACAAGTGCTTTCTCATTCTTCATTAGGGTTAACGAGTTTCCAAAATCATTAAACAACCCAAAAAACAACAACAACCCCATTGAGAGAAAGTTCCAAACTTTTTGTGGCGTGAAAGGTAAAAAATGAAGATAGCGAAGGTAGAACAATCTTCATTCATGCTACCCAATAGGCTCACACTACTTCAATTTTTCATGGCGGTGATGCTTCTCTACTTACTCTTCATGAGTTTCGAAATCCCTCTTGTTTTCAAAGCTTCTGTTTCCACTGAAAAAGGCACCACCTTTGGGTTCACATTACCCATGCCACTGTTACTAGAAGAAGAACCCGAAGAACAACCTTTTCGGGTACCCAATGGGTCAAAATTGCAGAAAGTTTCAACCTTGAGCTTCAACGAGAGCTTCAACATTGACAAAAATGGAGAATTTTCTGAACTTCATAAAGCGGCGAAACATGCATGGGTTGTGGGGAAGAAGCTATGGGAAGAAGTTGAAGCTGGTGAAGTTAAAGTTAGTAACTTTGCATCAAATTTTGAGAACGAGAATCAAAAGAAGAATAAAAACAGTTCTGATTCGTGCCCGAATTCGATTTCACTTTCAGGGTTTGAGTTCCGGGAGAATTTCAAAGGGTTGTTGGTTTTGCCTTGTGGATTGACCCTTTGGTCGCACGTGACAATTGTGGGTACCCCTCGTTGGGCTCACGCGGAGCGTGACCCGAAGATAGCGGTGCTGAGAGAAGGGGATGATGCTGTTATGGTGTCTCAGTTTATGATGGAGTTGCAAGGGTTGAAGGCCGTGGAAAATGAGGAACCACCTAGGATACTGCATTTTAATCCGAGGTTGAAGGGTGATTGGAGTGGTAAGCCAGTGATTGAGCAAAACACGTGTTATAGGATGCAGTGGGGCACAGCTCTTAGGTGTGAAGGGTGGAAGTCACGTGCTGATGAAGAAACTGGTGAGTGAGTGAGTGAGTGGTGTTTCATGTTTATAAAGTTTTTGCTTTCTGTTTTCAAAATGCATATTTTTAATTGTGTTGAAGTGAATTTGGCATAGTATATTAGCATTTTCGATCCATTTAGCTATCTTCGCCTTATAGGAAAACGAATTTTCATGGTATGGATGTTGAAGTGAATCTAGGATAGGGGTTCGCCAAATTTGCGGCGAGATAGTTGATTTGTTAGGATAGGAAGTTGAATTTGGAGATTGATAGTAATTTTATTTCTTTAGTTACATGGGCGTAGTTTGTGTATTCCTCAATTCACTTGTGGTCTGTATTATGAGTTAGAAAGAAGTAATCTTTTACTAGTGTTTGCGAAACCTTTTTATTCTATCATCCAAATATGTTTTTTTGCTAAATCAAAAAAAGTTCTTACCGGTGTTTGAGTATTATAACTATTGCATAGAAGTTGTTAACTTTTTGACTTTGGTAGTTCATTGTTGGATGATAGTGGATCAAATTTAAACTAATAGAAGAAAAGAGACAAACTCCCTTCTGTTATCATCATTTTCATTCTCTTATGTGAAAGTGTACATTTGTAAACAATTTTTTTAGTGTATATTTCTTTAGTGGGCCTGATCATTCCCTGCAATCTCGGCATAGCAGGAATTTTATAGCACCATACTGCTCTTTTAATGTGTCTTGTTCCAAGAGATACCACTCATCTTTGCTGATTTTCTGGATTTTATGAAGTTGATGGACAGGTGAAATGTGAAAAATGGATTCGTGATGATGACAGCCGCTCAGAAGAGTGGAGGGCAACATGGTGGTTAAACAGACTGATAGGGCGTAAAAAGCAGGTGCCTATAGACTGGCCATATCCCTTCGTAGAGGAGAAACTATTTGTTATGACCGTAAGTGCTGGCTTGGAAGGTTACCATGTTAGTGTGGATGGGAGGCATGTGACATCCTTTCCCTATCGCACGGTGGGTACATGAATCGTAACTCCTTCTACTTCTGTGAATACAGAATTGTCTTAAGGATTTATGTTACATTCACATTTCCCCTTCACAGGGCTTTGCTCTCGAGGATGCTACTGGACTATCTATAAATGGAGACGTTGATGTGCATTCTATTTTTGCTGCTTCCTTACCTGCATCACATCCTAGCTTTGCACCTCAGGTGCATCTTGAGTTGCTTCCACGATGGAAAGCTCCTCCTCTTCACAATGTGAACATCGAGCTTTTCATTGGTATCCTTTCTGCAGGCAACCATTTTGCTGAGCGGATGGCAGTTAGGAAGTCTTGGATGCAACATAAGCTTATCAAATCTTCACGTGTTGTGGCTCGGTTTTTTTTAGCCTTGGTAAGAGTGAATGCATGTTCCTTACCCCCGGACAATGATAAAAACTGTGAATAAGTATTTTTTTTCATTTCTCATATGATAGCATGCAAGGAAGGATATAAATGTGGACATCAAGAAAGAAGCAGAGTATTTTGGAGATATTATTATAGTCCCGTACATGGATCATTATGACCTTGTTGTGTTGAAGACTATAGCTATCTGCGAATATGGGGTGAGTGGTGGAAGGAGTAAAATGTTGCTAATTTATGTTCACATTCTTATTTTTTTAGCCCCTCTTTTTGCTTCTTATATAATTGGTTGTTATTTAACACGCCTTTGCAGATTCGCTCAGTGGCTGCTAAATATATCATGAAGTGTGACGATGATACATTTGTCAGAGTGGATGCTATCATAAGCGAAGCAAGAAAAGTCCAAAGTGATAGAAGTCTCTACATCGGAAATATGAATTACCACCATTCTCCCCTTCGCCATGGCAAGTGGGCTGTAACATATGAGGTATAACTTCTCTGTTGGTTTCTCTGCTTCTGGGAGTTCTTACATGCTTTTAAATTTCCTGTTTATATCTATGTTGATTAAACTAAAGTGCTGAATGTTATTTTTCATGCTTGCTTTGAGACTTAGTTGATTTCAGAACATTAACATTACATATTATGCTCTTAACTGATCA